TATGCAAATCGATGGTTCTTCCTACGAAAGCCGAATGGCAAGATCCGATGGATCCAGGACCTTCAGAAGGTCAACGCGGTGACGATACGAGACGTGGGCTCCGTGCCACACGCCGATTTACTGGCAGAAGGCGCAGTAGGTAGGTCGATCTATTCGGTCTGTGATCTGTTCTCAGGCTATGATGAGGTACCGCTTGACCCTAGGGACAGACACCTCACGGCTATGCATACGCCATTGGGACTAATTCAAATGATGGTTGTCCCTATGGGTTGGACTAATGGGGTAGCCGTTTTTCAGAGAGCCATGGTAGCCGTCCTCAAGGACTTCATCCCTGATAAGGTTGAAGTTTTTCTGGATGACTTTCCTATAAAAGGGCCAGTAGACAGGGATGAGACAGAGGTTATACCAGGAGTTAGAAGATTCGTCGAGCAGCACCTAACAGACATTTGCGCAGTACTCGAGCAGCTGGACGATGCGAATTTGACAGTCAGCGAAACCAAGAGCCGATGGACCGTCTCGACTATTAAGATCTTGGGTTCTATCTGTGACTCGAGAGGACGCCGAGCAGATCCGGCGAAGTTAGACAAACTTCTGAACTGACCCTCATCATCACATAGCCCAACCGAGGTCCGGCAGTTTCTAGGAGTGGTCGGTTACTGGCGTATATTCATACGGGGGTATGCGGAGAAGGCTGAGCCGTTGAGGTTACTCCTTCAAAAGACAGAAAACTTCTATTGGAATTCTTCGCAGGAACTTGCTATGCAAGAACTTAAAGACGAATTTAAGGAAGGAGGACGCGTGTTGGGTGTGCCATTCTTTGACGATGAGACCAAGAGACCCTTCATAGTATCCACGGATGCTGAACATGTTCAGTGGGTGGTTTGCTGTCTCAGAAGGACGCTGGAGGGAAGGAAAGACCGTTAAGATTTGAGAGTAGGACACTTAATACGGCAGAGCGTAACCACAATCAATTCAAGAAGGAAGTGTTAGCTGTACTCCGATGTCTAGACACGTTCAGACACTATATCTATGGGCGACGGTTCATCTTGAGAGTAGACCCCACCGCGGTTGCCTCTGTCCTCCAGAAGGACTTTAGTTTGACGGACCCGACCATCGCCCGATGGTTAATACGGATTCGGCTATACGATTACACGGTTGAAAGAGTATCTGGTACGAAAAATGTCGTGGCAGATGGGCTTTCACGCATCCCTCTCGAGCGTCCGATAGTAGCTGGGGCTCTGACAATGGCAGAGCCGAGGCGCGCCGAGAGATTCCTGGTTAATCTTTACGAGGGCAAGTACCGAATGATCGGACTACACCTGACGGGAGAGGAGAGTCAAGATTTAGAAATCCGGAGGCAAGCAGCCCAGTACTGCTTTAGAGCGGGCCACCTTTTCCGAAGGCCAGTAGGGTCGGGAATGCCCTTACGAGTAGTCTATGATCCTGAGGAGAGACAGACGATAGTTGCGGAACTTCACGACGGGGTAGTCGGAGGACACAGGGGAGTTAAAGGAACCTATGAAACGATACGCCGGCTGTACTGGTGGGATGAACATTATAAGGACGTCGAGAGGTACTGTATGACATGCGAAGAGTGCAAGAAGAGAGCTCTTGTGAAATACAAAGAGCCACTTCATCCATCCTATCCGACCAGACCAGGAGAGAAGGTACACATCGATCTAGTGAAAATGCCGAGAGGGGTAGGCAATATGAACTACGTCGTGAACATACGAGACGATTTCACTGGGTTCGTGGACGGTAGACCTATCAGGAGTAAGGCGGCAAAGGAAGTAAAGAGCTTTGTCCTAGAGTACTTATCTAGGTATGGTTGTGTCAGCAAGATAGTGATGGACAGAGGGGCGGAATTCMTAGCCGACGAGGTCCAGAGTGTGTTTAGGAGAGCCGGTGCGAGAGTTTCGATAGCCACCGCCTATCACCCACAGTCGAACTCCCCAGTAGAGAGGGGACACCAGACTCTGATAGCGTCACTGTCCAAGTGGTGCAAGGGTAAGGACAGTGATTGGCCACGATATTTTCGATACGCGATATGGGCGGACAACGTCACGGTCCGGGCTAGTACCGGATACCCACCGTACACCTTGTGGTTTGGACGACATTGTGCGCTTCCCATGGAATTTCACGTCGACAGCTGGACAACCATCGACTGGGCGGAGGAGATGTCCAGAGAGGAACTCTTAGCTGCCCGAACGAGACAAATAGCCTACGGTTTGGAAGAAGACCTCATGACAGCGGCAGACTGTCTGGTAGTGGAAAGGGAGAAGGGTAAAGAGAGATGGGATAAGAACGTGCGAATCAGGAAAGAGAGGGTGAGCGTAGGAGATATGGTCCTTCTCTACGATGCAGCGCTGGAAAGGACCTGGACCGGAAAACTTGCCAATAGATGGATGGGACCTTACAGAGWGGTTGAGGCACTTGACTGGGGTGCATATATGATAGCAGAACTAGACGGATCTAAGTGGAAGGACCCAGTGGCGGGGGCTAGGTTAAAGCTGTTTAGGCCCAGGCCCACGCCCGCTTTAACACTAACCAGCCCGAAAGGGAAAGGGAAAGCCATGATGGAGGATGGAGCGCCCTCGAGGCAATTCGAGCCAGGAGAGAGCTCCAAGAAAAGGAAAAGAGTAGAGAAGAGAAAGGTCAAAAGGGTATCTCTAGGAAGAAAGAAGAGATGATTATTCGTGCTCAAGCGACCTAGACGGAGAGTTCGCGTTAGACGTACTGGCCGGTCGACACCCTTCTCGGGGCAAAGACAGAAGAAAAAGAGGATCGTGCCGGGACCAAAAACCAGAAGACACAGGAGAGTCAAGGAGCATCTTCTTAGCCCCATGACTTATAACAAACTGAAACATATGACGATTAAACGCCGACGTGGGCGTCCTTTACGGGCTATCACCTTAAAGCTCGTCCGCTTCGTCTGACGTAAGTTGCTAGGGCCTCGACGGGGGCGTCGAGAAGTGGTCCGGGCTAACTGACAGGCGGCCACACGCAGTGCGCCGCCTGAGATCCGCAGTTTTGGGGCTTAGGCTCAGGGACAAATCCGTTTTTTTATGGTAGTCTCGTATGACCAAGCAGCAAAAATTAGGGGAACTCAGGGCACCCCTGATTTTGGGCGCACTGAGCTTTATGAGTAACACTCAAAGATGGCGAGATGGGTGACCGGACTCGGCATGTCTCGGGACTGTCATTTCCGACCGTTCAGGGGGGTTAGACCCGGATTGACCTGCCGCG